AACCGGCGGAGCGTCCTGGGTGTGAGCTTGTCCAGGCCTGGAGACGAATTGTCCATTTAACGGATCGTACGGCCAAATTCCTCTCCTGTAATTGGCTCGATCAAGCTCCAGTCGGATGGTACTACTATGCGACTTGGTCGGCTATCCGCGTGTTTTGGAGGTGAGAGCACTTGTTTCCAAAACTGTTCGGCGTCCGTAGGTAGGCCGCAGTTTCCTTTGTATAAATCCTCCCAAGACCCATCGAGTACAGCAGACGCTGCATCTTTCCGTCTTTGGTGGTATAGAGTCTAGATGGCGGCGTAGTTGGCTCGGCGGATCTGCTTTCGGTTGACCGGAATCCGATGGGCTAACTGACGGCGACGTCGATTCGGTTCGGTCACCTCACTGCTAACAGTCGACCTGTTGAACATTAAGGAAGCCATAGACCCTGAAGTTCCATGATTGTATCTCGTAGATGCCGAGATGGGCTAACTGACGGCGACGTCGGGAAAATTCGGTCACCTCACTGCTAACAGTCGACCTGTTGAACATTAAGGAAGCCATAGACCCTGAAGTTCCATGATTGTATCTCGGTGTTTAGATGCCGATATCGACAATATAAACCTACCTATAGAAAGCCTGTCAAATTACACGTAGAAAGCACTGATTTATGGCCCCATATGTGCACGAACACTTGTGCACACCATAAAACAATTGCTAGCTGAAATATTGCTAGTATTGTTCACAGAATCACAGAGAAGTTTTGATGAACAAGCCTAAAAATGCATAGATGTTTTCACTTTTAAGTACACCGGACGGAAGTTGAAAGGTGTGAAATGTCTATTTACTTCCTAAATCAACCTTTTAAAGCAACTAGAGCAAAACACAACATTAGTACCCTTTGTATGGTTGGCGAACTCACAAAACTTCAGGGTCATACCAGTGCTCAATTCATACTCATTTTCCCCAGAACCTGTTTTGTGCATCGCACTATTTCAGTACCACCAAACTAACGACAACCTGTCACACGATATTAGCCTGAGAGTTTCATTCGATGAATGCCCAGTCTCAAGAACATCCAAACATTATTCAGAGCAGTGAAAATTACGGACAGCATTTATTCAAGCTACAGGTAGTTTATACCAAAAGCCACAATTCTGAACTTCCATGTCACTTTCTTGGAAGTTTATGCAGTGTACACGGGGCACCTTGCCATAAATGAAGTAACCAGAATGAAGCCTCCGATTTCAGCTTCTTCTGTTAGTAATACAAATCATTTTTGATTAAAAAAATCCGCAAGTAAATTTGGTGACCGAATCCGGCTTCAACAAACAACATTAAATTGCAGACGATTGAGTAAATCCACCTGCAAGGTCAAACTTAAATTTTCAGTTTTGAAGCTGCAAGTCATATTTGAAACTCTACGCACATCGTCACACTTCACCTGTAGAATGTAGAATCTGCTCCTAAGTAAATCAACACAATTTCAGGTCTCTCCAAAACCCAGGAGTGAATGGGCAGGTTTGAGCCTTGGCGTGACCGACAAATAAGCCTACTTTCTTATTGCAAATTGTGAAGAACTGTAGAGTTTACCAATAAAAAATCTTACCGTCACCGATTATCCCGGCAGTCCACCCTGAAACATTTTAAAACCTCCGCTGCAATAACGTCTGTGTCTTTCCCATTCACAGTCCCTGGTCCGATAGCAATATTTAGGGATTTGTGAAATAACTATGCGCTTTCAAGCTAGAGCTACAAAATGCTACCTGGATGACCAAATACCGAACCACCTGAAGGACAGGTTAATAGGCAATATTAATGACCCTGTGTTTCAGAGGAAGTTGCTGCTTACATCAACTATCAAGTATTCGCAAGTCTGTGGTGATCTAAAACATGTGACCAACACAATCCATTCTAATCCAACTGGTTGCCATCCGTAACACCCTTGATTGTATTCCACAAATTGCACACTACCTTTTCCGACCAAACCAGCGGATCTACCCAACAAACAAACACCTACTGATGAGTGATAATAATGTGGCGTTTACACCTTCATATTGGTTACCGTTTTCATGATACTGCACTAAGGATGCAGTCACATTCGGAGAGCATATCTTGCACCACTTCAAAATTACTCGGTGAAACATTGGACCACACATCTGGTCAGTGTGCAAAGTTTATCACACATCCGAGAAGTATTTCGTCCAGTATCTCTGAGTTCATATGGGATGGGTGTTATGGGCTTGTTATGTGGACGGCTAATTGGATTAGATTTGCAACTCTGCACGGTCTAGATGCTTTTACCATCTAGCTACATGCATTTTAAGCTTGGTCTAACTGTTGAAGTCAGTTGCAACTGAAAGTTGTGCTGATTACAGTGAGTTGTCACAAAATTTTACAGAGGCAGTCCGAGATTCATAGCCCGATTTCGGAATGTTTCGAGTACTAATGGAGAATAAATTTTATTCCTGAAGTTTTGAATGGGAATGGAGAAAGTGAGGAGGATTTCTGTGCGGGATAAAAGAGCCAGTTCGTAGTTGTATTATACAAGTAGCAGGCGATAGGATATCAATTTTAGTAAAATGCGTAATCTGGAAGATGCCACTCATTGTGATGCTAAAGAATATAACTGCCGGACTTAAGTCATTTCGACTTCTTATAAAGCAAGTAGGAAGCAATAGGGTGACATAATGTTCATTAACCTACCAAGGTAACATTATTCGCTGAACCAGCGGGGTTACAGAACACGACCTGCGGTTAAGTCGTCTTCAAGAAAGAAATGCACTTATCGAATCAGAATCAGAGAGCATAGCAGAAAAATAAACAGGCCGCCAAGAAACGCGGATGAATATCAAGCGGTACTGGATGACCCGGAAGTTGCTGAACACACACGAGACGAGGACTACGGTCCACATCACGGAGACTGATAACCGAGGCGGTAGAAACCCCAATCATCCGTGTTAACAGAATAGAAGCCATAGAACTGGTAAGTGTGTAGAGAACGGTCCTGGATCAGTCGAGCTAACACGCTTTGATGTGTGATCATCAGGAGAAATAGGTACCATGTGAATCCCACTTAACCTTACCCACTTCACTACCTCCAATTATATTGTCGCAACATTCACATGGCCACCAAGATCAAGGAAAATCTACCAGTGGCACCCGCGGTGGATCATTATCTGAAGTACTCGGAAGTAGAAGATTAAGGAACAAAAGCCTATCGGAACTAGCCTGAAACTACTCCAACCCAGCAATTCAAGATTTCAGCAACTACACTAACTGACAAGAGTCGTTAATTGAAGCTCAGCATTGATCCGAAGAGGACTTACTGACTGGTTCCCAGTCTGTCTTATAACCTGGCCAATTTGGTGACCTGTCCGCTTGGCCTGTTGAAGCTTTTGTGTCAGAAGCGAAACGTTACCCAGTTAAAAACCACCGGCTGCTTACCACGCCCTTATGAAACGAGGAAATGTTGAAATGACGTCAAACGATGGGTACCAGAAATTTGGACTAGACTATAGGAAATCTCAATATATTCGGATGGGCCACCCATTGTCTAGAAATACCCGATAATTTCTCCTTGCTGACTGATATAACCCATTGCCACGTGGGAAATGTTAATGTGAAATTATAAACAGGGTGAGACATGTTGCCGATTTGGAATGAGTGCCGACGTTGAGAGATTTACTGGTTTTTGGTCTGACCGTGTCGTACCATATCTAAAGGTTGAACCGGAGTGTGTGCAGCCGATGTAAAATGTATATACTTATTACTGAGGGTTACGGGTGAAGGTTTTCCGTGCACTGATTATCAGTTATTCATATTTCTAATAGCCTGGGTTTTCCGATCGGATCGATATCGTACGAGCTTACAGTAAAAGCATTGTGGGAGTATCCCCAAACCAAATGCATTTCATAGGTTCTGTTAACAGACAATGACACCAGTCTTTAGTTTCAATGAAAGAAAGCTGTGTTTAAACGGGTCTAGCTGCCGCAAACAAAGAATTCCATCCCGCCATCCTTGTTCTCAGAGTTTCTGGAAGGTTTGAGAGGATCAGAAGAGTATACCGGTGAGTTAAACTGTTTCATTTGAGCATTGGTATAATATTTTACTGTCGTTTCAGAACTACCTCGATTTTTGTGTTCCATAGCATTCACTCTCTTCACATGCTGGTGCTGTTTGTTTCACGCACCCGAACATATCGCTATCTGTTCATGGAGACGTTTGCGACTCAGTTGCCAACATCGCTATCTGCTCCCTTGACTTCCGACTTTGCAACATGGCCTTAGTCGTCTGGTGTCTTTCAGTATTCTACATGTAGTTTTATATGCCATGCACTAGTCTGTAATCAAAGGGCATGATAATTGTCTACTGATTCCCACTGAGTCCAAAGTGTCTTCTCCTATACCAGTTCTAGATCACACACAACAAATCTTTACGTTGCCAGTCTAACAAATGACATATTCTAGTCATCAGGTTGTGACGGAGAATGCTGACGGGACTGCGATAATTTGTACAATGGCCACAAAGAAACGCCACAACAATTGCATTCGATTTGTTCCAAAAATTATCATCAACAGAACTTTGATACTAATGAAGAATTTTTTCACCAGATATTTTTTATGTTTTAATCCATCTGGCTGCTTGGAGAGGAATTTTAGGCCGCAAGAATTTCTTTGACATCTATCTGCGGAATGAACAGTCGACAAAACACGTTTAAAGGTCTTTTAAGTCTCGAATACAAACTGTATTATTTAAGAAAGTTGACGAGCAGAATGTCATTCCTGCGACGAACAAACGCTGTCCAGAATCAATGTCAGGAAGTTGACAATAATTAAAAGGTAACATCATTATTAGAAGTGAAGATTTTGTTCGTGAATCTTATACTTAGATAATTTTGTCACTTTTTCTCTTATCTTCGGTGCGTCAGGCAGGTAATTCCCAAGGGCAAATAGCCAATGTTCCACAGATTACTCTTGCGTAAGAGTCTGTGTTCCGTGATAAACAAGTCTTCTGGAAACCAGAAATTGTTGTGTGGCATAAAATGAAATCAGTTGCATGAAGTTCGTTAGTGAGGTATGGGATAGTCTTACATAGTTATACGCAATTTTTATTCCAGTGTGGAAGAAAGAATTGCACAATGACTGGAATGGCATCATTTGAGTTAAAATCACTTTATGCTAACAATTTCAACTCCAGGCAAATGATACTTAATTACCGAAATATATTTCGATGGTTTTTCAGTGATGAATTGGTTATATGGAGGACAGTTTCCAAATAGAA